GAACAGTTGTCTCGTCCTAATAAGGGACCCCACCACAGATCGAAGCTTGGACTTTCAGGTCTTGTGGCAAGCACTTAACCTTGAAACCACTGAGTTCACATCCAATGGTTTACATTTTGTTAAGTCGGCTTACAGTAAACTCTATCAGAGCCTCCAGAGGCTCATAAAGAGCCCCAACCAATCAGCGATTAGTTAGAAGCTATGCTACTAAAATAACGAGGTCCTGATTGGCTGTTTAACACACTGCTACTATGGAACCTCAAGGTCTCTTAATTGCTATAAAACCCCTGTATTTTCTGTACATGAATGAACCTTGCAGTAAAGTGTTTCTCTCATACTCGTGTCATCTTACTGGTGTTCAAGTCGCTGAGTAGTTCTAGCTCGGGGATCCGAAACTAGCTTAGGGAAGCAAACATAACGTTCACAAACGGTAGTTATAACAGTGGCGACGGGGATTTTGGTACGCAAAAGAAAAAAGTATACAGTTGTCGTCGGTGATTCTGGCAAAAAGAAATACAGCAACCGAGACGTGATTTGGAAATCAAACAAGCTGTAATAATTGCCGGTGAATCTTCGGAGTTATTATTATTATCAGTAAAAAAAATGACGATTTCTCTAGAACAGGCGCTGATAATATTAGAGCACCGGCAACAGCAGATGCTAGCCTTCCAGCAGCAACTATTTGAAACAGTTTTGGACAAAGTTTTCACTAAACAAAATGTTTCAGGAAATAAAGAAATTATTCGTAATGCAGATAATGGTGCAAAAAACGCCCAGTTGAGGGTTCATTTCCCTTCATATCTGATGAGAAAGGCAGAATGGGTAAGTTGGCCGGTTCAGAGCAAGACAATATCTTGCTAAATGCACATGAAACTGTGACAGTATCAGATATCAAAGAAAAAGAAGGTTCCGTAGACAAAGCCCCGAGCCCAGAGTCAAATGAAGCACCGTTGAATCCGCCGATCTCTGAAGACAAACTTCAGTCAGAACTAAACTACGGGTTACATGATATCGGCCAAGAAAGCTGGAATGGTGCACATAACTTTGATGAAAATTCTTATGAAGATGAGGAAAATAAGTCGGTTGAATCAAATGCTGATCAAAAACCTAAGGCAATTTTATTAGATGATGATTCCCCTAGCTATCAAATATCCTCCAGTGAAAATCTTAATGAATTTGATGGAGATGTTCCAGAAAAGCCAAATTCCGATGACCTAAAATCAAATATCGTTCAGCATCATCTATTCATTTCTAGTGGATTCTGCATTCAATACGAGAAATGTGTTCTAAATGAAGTCATATTAATTGTAAATTGGAGATATGAAGATCCAACACTTTTTCGTGGGGGAGGAAAATGTTGGAGAATTTTCAAATTACAGATTATTTTTTTAAAAAAAAATCAGACTCTAATCTTCGAATCTTCAAAAAAGGGGAGGTGTTAAGTCGGCTTACAGTGAACTCTATCAGAGCCTCCAGAGGCTCATAAAGAGCCCAACCAATCAGCGATTAGTTAGAAGCTATGCTACTAAAATAACGAGGTCCTCATTGGCTGCTTAATATACTGCTACTATGGAAACTCAGGGTCTCTTAATTACTATAAAACCCCTGTATTTTCTGTACATGAATGAACCTTGCAGTAAAGTGTTTCTCTCATACTCGTTTCTTCTTACTGGTGTTCAAGTTGCTGTATAGTTCTAGCTCGGGGATCCGAAACTAGCTTAGGGAAGCAAACATAACGTTCACAAACGGCAGACGTAACACATTTCTAACTTCATTTAATTCACAATACTGCGCAACCCATTTTTAATGCCAGAGTTAGGTAAATTGTCTTATGCCTAACTTGGTTGGACTGTACTAGTCAATACTTCTCACTAGAACTCCAGGAATTACTACCATTCACCTTTCCATACTTCCGTATATTTATCACATACATATCCTCATACTTATGAAACTCTATAATTCCAACTAAAACATCACTTTCTTGATAATGCATTCAGAACAACATGTGCATATAAATGGTAGATAATTAGTGCATGGGATATATTTTTTTTTCTAGTGACGTCTTATAGAGGTTCTCAAGATAACATATCGCTCTTCTATGCCTTGTACGATTTATCCATGTCTATCTTGCAGTATATGTCAGCCTAGTGTAGTGTCTGTCATGGTTAGTCAGCGAGCTAATTAAATTCACCAGTGCTAACTACTACTATTACTACTACTAATTCGTTAGCCAATCTGTGAAACTCGGTGTTATATCTGTCTCTCCTCTATACATATAGACACATGATATGAAGTAGTTGAACTACAAATCAAAGTGAAACCGCCTACGCAATTTCCTTGTTTTCAATTTATATTTTATAGACTGACTATGAGGGAGTAGTAGTAGTATATGTATAACAGCTAGTTAGTCAGTAGAGTTAGTCATCACACTAAACATACTCTTATAAATCCAGTCATCGCTGAGGCAATAACCCTCAAAGCCCAATCTCAAGGTCATCATCATGCTCTTTCTACTACAACTTAATTATAAGTCAGTACAGATAAAATTCATTCTAGGGTGTTGACGCGTTGTTACTTGTTTGCTTGATTTTTTTTAAAAACAAAGAAAGGAATATTGGATTTCTTTCTGTTGTTTTGCTGTTTTCGCCTAAACAAGTTAGCAATGGAAAAAAGTCACTAATGTAAAATACTTGTACACTTGCTTAAGTCAAGAAAATAGATGACTTATTACCATCAATATATATATATATATATATATATATATATATATATATGTATATGTATATATATATATACGTATGGTATCAACCAACGAAATCTCGTAAACGGACATTTTAGCAAATCAATCCATTAGGAAGTGTGGGAACACAATGTGAACTTCATAAATTCTATGGGGTGCAGAGATTTCCACTGTCGAAAAGTCATGTTCAATCTTGTGTATTGATGAAATAAAGTTTGAAGATTTTAGGATGTGACTCTCGAACAAGTGGTTTTAAGGATCAGACGAAATCGTACGCCTATTTTCATGCGAATACAAACTGTTGAAATAAGTCTTGTTCAAGACAATACTGACCATATTTCAGTCACAAATATCAACAACGAAATAAACCAAACCATTTCGAATTGGATTATGTTTCTCTATGGAGTCTAGATAAAGGTATGAAACGAAAAATGCCCATGTAACTCCTGATCACTGATTCATTCTGTGACCAACCTCTGAGGGGTAATTCTCAAAGTTCTCGTGCGAAGCAGTGATCATTAAAGTCCAACCATACCAAGCGTAAGACAAATATCACTACCAGTAGCCATCGATTACAGTCATGAAATAATTGAAGTTATAAGTGCAGATCATTGAATGGCAACTCAACAATCTAAAGGTTAAGCCCTCGCCGCAAGGCCCAAAATCTCTGAGTTTGAAACCCTAGTGAAGTCACAGACCCACACTGGTGAGGAGTCGTATAATGGAACAAATCAGCCGTCCCATGCCTACTGCTTTTTAACTGTCGTTTAACTTCAGTCAATCTACGGTGTAAAACTACAAAACTTGAGAACTTCCAAAACCCATTCTCATACCACAAATAGTCGACTATTTTCTTATCATATGCGTTCTATACACTCAATTATATTGTTTCCAAGATAAATTAAACGTTTGCTGAAAATAACTAATTAAATACAGGTCAGTTCAGTCAGCAACAATGTAGAACTTCGTACGTACGTACATTAGTTCAAGTTGCCATACAATATTAGCACAGAGATAAAATTGTCGATTCTAATCCCATAGTGGCAGAGGTAGTAAAAGTATAAGCAGTAATTGGAAAGATTAGGGTTTGAAGATGTTATTGAAGGAGTATAATCCAGTGAAATAAATTTGGAAAGAGAAAAAAAGGGACATGAAGAATTCAGAAGATTAGAATTTGAAAGAACATACAGAGTAGATGCACCTGCGTCGTTGCAAACGATTTTGAGGTTAGTTTAAACGTCTTTGAACCACATACTACATACGTGTGTTCGGAGGCTGGTGTTATGATTCACTTTGCTAAACCAAGATAGGTAGATAGGGTGACGTGTAACTAATTTTTTAAAGACCAAGCAGTTCATTTGCCGAAGTGCTATTCAACCTATTACTATGATCAAACAACTAATTGGCAAGACCCAGTCATAGACCAGGTCGCGGATTTAAATCAGTTGGAATATTATATAAAGCCAGGTTTACTCAATTCATTTGCCAAGCATAGATTAGTTTGCTTGGCTTCGAGCCACACTCTACTTATAAGGTCTAGTGATGCTACCTGGTTATCTAAACCGAATTAGGTGTAGCGGAGTCTGAACCTGCGACTTAGTGATTGAGGGTTGAAGGTCTTAACCACTGCAGTACTAAAAATACTGGATAACTAACTTGATCTTAATGTGGGAATATTCGGCAGCACTGCGCGCCACTATTTGCTCAGGATTGAACCCATATCACTTTAAGGTCTTATAATTAACACCATAAAGGTCACACACTTTTTCATCTTTAACGATGCACACATACACAAATTTACATATGTGTCGCTTATGAGTCATCTTGACCGAAATGACATGACATTGATTTGTTCAGACTTGTTTTTTCGATTGATCACACATAATATTTTTGTGTTGTCCTGTTGTACTACTTAAACTTGGATTAATTTTGATTTGGTTATTTATTTTCTGAAGAAGTTGCTTACACTCAGTCACGAAACGTCAGAAAACTTAATTTTTCTACTCATTGGGGTATTACAAATATAATAATTTATTTATGTGTCTAGTGTTTCTTGGTTTTCACTAATATCATCAATCCACTACTAAGGCCGAAAATTAAAATAATCTGACTATAAGTTACAACTTCTCAGTAGTTAACGAGTGAATAATGCGAATAAAGGTCATAAAAAGAATAAATGTTTACATAATTTAACACTTGCATATTTACTTTACACTAACTGATCAATTATTTCTAGTAAAATATTTCCTTTTCTCGCCAGAAATCAATCATTTAGAACAGTCAGCCCGATTCGGTGGTAATAACAACAATAGTGATAGTAATAATAATAAAGATGGTTATTCTACATTGGATTTATTAAGTGGATCGGCTGTTGGTCCTGTGGCAGAATTAGCTCAACTAGCAGCTACACCATGGTCACAATTATTAGATACAAATCGTGCCAGACAACGTGAATTATTATCAGAATGTGAACGGCATAAAATTGCTATCGATCAAGTGGATACTCACTTAGCTAAAACAAAGTATGTGATTATTCAATACTATTATTATTATCCCGTAAGTTTTTTTTATTGCTAACCTTCATCATCATCATTAAACTCATTTTATCGGTGCCAAAGATAATCAATATATTCACAAAAACGAGCTATGAAAATGAACCTAAAACCAACTGCCTAGAGCAAGGGTGAGGATGGTCGTTAACAGTGATGTTATTTGATCCTACTCTTTACAGTACGGATGATCCAATAAATGTCATATGTCTTGTAAACTGATTAAGATTTTTTTCGAGCATAAGTTTACATCTTATTTTTAGGGATCCTTCAATTTGAAAATCGTATTCGTTTTGTGTTAGAGGAGTTAACCGATAGATTGAAAGGCATAAACAATATAGGGATGATCTGGTATAATTAGTTATAATCAACGCACAACCGACGGAGCAAATGTCCATTGTGCCCTAATTCCCCACTAACTAAAAGAAAATAGCAAATGTCCCGGAATATTAGTAGTACCGGTGATAATAAGACTAGGCATGAAGAATATAGCTCAAGAGAAATGAAATCAAGAAATATAAAGTGTCAGACAAAACACTGACGCTTAATAATGAGAGGAAGGTAAACGAATAAAATGTGCCTGCTCCTTTGTGACTGAGTTTGAGCCATGTCATCTAAGGTTTTCTCCAACCATTGGTCGCGATTATCGCGTGCACTCCAATTAGGTAGTTTACACTTACACGATTCAGATGAACATTTGCTGACTTCATGGGTTCATATCGTCTTTGTCTGTTTCCCTCCTGAAGCTTTCTTCTAATCTACTTATACACCAGATAGCATCGAAGTTGATAAATGATGATTCAGCATACGGAACATTTGTCCCAGACACCTCAGTCCAAATAAGCTACACTTCATATCAAAGCGAAAGGAAATTAAAGATATAAAACAGAAAAAATAGAATAATCCTAATTGCATTAGTGACCTAAACATTATTATTGTTATAAACGAATGAAAATGAAATGACTTGAGATAGTGAATTGAATGTCCCTATATAGACCGAAGCGAGAAGTGGAGTGATTAATTTCCAATGTCTCTTTACTTACGCTTGCAAGCGATAATCAGTTGTCGACAGTTTGGTAAACTTATCAAAACAAATCAAATTCCCAGAGTATTTTTTGTCTCCGATTCTGAGGAAATGAACTACCACCTATTTTTGTTTTCAACAGTCTCAGGAAAGAACTTTATATAAACGAATTTTACTAAGGATATTAGGAAAACTGCTAGGTAATGGCACAACTGGGCTTATGGATAAACTTCATAAAATATGATAAACATCTTATCTACATCGATGGCACATACTTCATTTTCTTTAGATAATAACACCTTGCGTCGAAAATCGACATTGTTCTATGGGTGGTCTCACAAACAAAGGTGATTGAATATCCTTTACCCTCCTCATAGCTGCTATCGTACTCGAATAAACAACTTTGTTCAAAACAACACATATCAAGTCTACTGATATAGTATTGCTTGACGATTTTTTTTAGCAAGGTGTCGCTTACCTTATGCCCAACTTCCCCCCCACTTTGTCTGGACTTGGGACTGGCAGAAGTGCGAAGAGAGTCCCAGGCAGAGTGTCTAACAAAGTATACATTAATCGGATATCTATCGTGTTTTGTGGTATTTGAACTAAGAAATTCACTAGCAACTAAAGCTGCTTGTCAAGGCAGAAATTAAAATCGATCCACAAAGTTACAAAAATTACTTTGTTCACCTTAAAATTGTACTTCTCAATTTTACTTTAATCGACTGCACCTACTACGTAATAGGAACATATGACTTAATTTCGCCTCTATTTTCAATTTTAAAACGAAAACAGAATGAATTTATCTCAACTAGAAAATCAAATCAATCAAGAGTTAAATCGATTGCTCAATGAATTGGAAGGATATAATCAACATAGAAGATTACTATTGAAGTCAGCCGGAAGTGGTAGCTCACAACCTCGTCCCAGCGATGGTGTTGCTGTATAAAATAGATGAATTATACTACCGTCATATTATGTGCAAATATTTGAACATGAACATAATAGATATTATATCATGTAAATTATCTAGTTTCATCAAGGTACAATCTCTTTTAATTTTCATGGTAATCTTTTTTCTTAATATACAGTATCCTATGCATAAATCCAGTCGTAATGCTCTATTTGTTTACCGATCGATTGATGAGACTGTTCAGAAAAATATTCTCCTATGGACCTTTCAATCATACATCTTTTGTTTTCAGTGATTAAGAAGACATAATGTCTCTAGCGGACGATGGTCTGACAATCACTGGATGAAGTTGACCATAAAAACAGATACAGAGAGGACTATCTAATGTACTTTACATTCAAATGACGGAAGTTTTTACTGTTTTACTCTATGTTCCCGTTTGATAACATAAACAACCCATCCAGACGTAGTAAATAAGTCAGTCGCAACGTAGAACCTGGCATTAGTAATAATACAAAAGAGTAGGCATCGAAGATATGATCCGAGGAAATATAAATTTGTGAAAAAAATTATGAGGAATTCTGAAGCTTAGAGTTTGGGGAAAAATAAAGGATGCATGAGACCGACACCATTCCAAATGATTTTGAGCCATATCATTCAAAGTCTTTAAGCACCGGTTACAATAATCACACGGACACCAAACAGGTAGTCTACACCTGTTAACATGACTTTGTCCAACTGTCAATTCCATGGACTAATCCCAAGTTTCGGCCTGGCCACCCCTAGATTTCTTCCGACCTACTCTTACATCAGACAACACTTGTCGAGGTAGGCGGTGGTTAGATTTACGTAACACATGTTCCAACTACCTCAGTTGATGGATATCTACTACCTCATCTATCGATTTGCCATCTTCACTTAGTACCCTATTCCTCACACGGACATTGCTTAGTCGGTGGTCGCGAAATACATGAGCAATGCTTGGAAGGCACCTATCATCGAATACTAGGAATGTAAACGTTTTATCAGTAGCAAATTAAAAAGAAATCACAATCTTGTTTTTCTTTATTGTCTAATAACAATTAAAATCACCTAATAAGCCGAAATTCTCGATAAGCAACACATTGTTATTACACGTAACTATAATAATAAATATACGCATTATTTTATCAAAGATGACAAACGTGTACACTTCCTCGTTCTCTGAAAGGACGCACAAGGTAAATCAAGCAAATTTAACCACAAACTGTCTTACAATAATATATGTATTGATGACCATGTTTGTGATTAATAGCTGATTGGTAATATCAGAGCCTTAGAGCGCAATTCAGAGAATAAGGATTTCACGCTGTTTACACCATGAAGTTATAATAAAAATGATAATAATGAAAAACAAAATGTTAGAGCAAACCCTACCAGGAATTAGTTTAGCAGTCATATACAGTATTCCCGGTGAAAAAAATCAAACTAGCAGACTGTTTGTTTATTCACGGCAACATTAAGACGAAAGAGAATGTCTCAATCAGTCCCGTGTCTACCAAATGAGCAAGAAAACTAACTTGTAGTGTGACAAAATGTAAGTTAGATGTTCTCCGAAAGTCATATGACCTAACACGGATATTTATTGATAAGAATCGTTGAAATCTACAGAGAATAAAAGGCGTGCGACAGTGAATGAACTATCTAACTCATTAATAATCAGCTCGCTATTCTTACGCAACCGAGTCTCAGTGGCTTATACTCCCAGACAAAAGAAACGTGTCTCCACCTGATGACTCCTTAATACCTAAACTCGACAACTGGGAGGGGGGTAATAAATTCCGCCACATCCCCAAATGAAATTATGCCATGGTACTGGTATAGCTGTTATGTCTTTTCCTAGTTATTTTTGGTCTACCTACCTGACTGCTTAATCACAACTTCAAGAAGATACCTAAAAATGCTAACACTACCATGCATCTTCACAAATACCTACCAGTAAGTTTACCATCCTGGTTACCTTCTCAAAATAAACGGACAGTATCATCTGGAATGTTGGCTGCCACAGTCGAGCAATTTATCTCTATCACATTAAGTATAACTGACATACGATCTTATTCTGTAGCTATCAAAGTGCAAAGTCGCATCAAGAAAATACTTAACTCTATAGCTTTTCCAACCAATTCTATGTATAAAAGGATCTCAAGAATAACTGTTGTGGCTCTACTTATCTAACATGTTAGGCTATAAAACTTTTGCTGCTAAGCTATGTATTACATAGTAAGCGAGTGCATATTGTATTCACTTAGTACTACAACTGGTTTGCACTTAACACTGCAAATGTCTATTTAGGTTTATCGCACATATTTAAACATACATAGAGTAAAAACAGTAAACCAAATACTTCATTATTGGTTACGTGTCTAGTTGCAAACGAAAGGTCAATATCTCCTGATTTAGTATTTTAAAATTATATTCCAGACGTTATTAGAGATATTTTATATGACTACTGGGTAGTGCCAGTTGGTTTAAAGATTAGTAAAATTAGAACTTGTTCATTTTTCAGAACTACGTGAAAAGTGAGCAAATCTATATCTGCAAAATAGGTCTTACCAGTTAGACGAACAGCTACTTAAATATCCCCCGGCAATATCCCTGAATGTGACACTGATATGAATCCGAACTAAACAGATAGTGTTAGCTCATCCACCACCGAAGACTCCAGGTATGCCTTAATCACCACTATCAGCTACACAGAGCCCAAATCCGGAGTTATCTGCAAATCGCCTCTAAGTACCTCGCATTCACCAAAGTATATTGGTTAGTACTATTAGATGAACTACATTCTATCAATCGTAAGGTAATCTTTCCCGTTTATGTTTGGCTCTATGACTGGTAGACTCGAGCTTCCACATCAAGTAACACAAAAGGCGAAAAAATCACGAGAAATAGTGATGTTTCGATGAAAAACGAGTTTTGAACCGATAAATAAAAACAAGACAGTAAGATTTAAAGTATAAGACCTATGCACAATTTCTTGATTGTCATGGGTTCCGCATGATAATTGGTGGTCCATAATCTTTCGACGTAATTCGATATCCTCTTGTCGTGTTCCACTTCAGTATGCGAGTTATTTGGATTTTTTAAGTTATAAACCATGTTCTTTATTTCTCGTTCCTTGTCTATTAATTTTACCTGCTCATATTGCAATAATTCTACTCGACCAAATGTTACAAAATGTCCCTATGACCATTAAACAAGAGTCAGTTACTAACATCATGCAACTGATAATTAACAACTAAATTCCAACCAACTTCAGAAATAGACTACATGACAACCAACAGTCTATTCTTTCACTCAACAGATTCAAAATACTATTGTTACAAAGAAATAAAATTGACTAATGCTACGAATCTCCTGAGAATACTAACTGTTAGTGATTCATGCATGTAATCGTTGACGAAACTAACACTGTATGGTACGAAACCCCTAAAATTAGAAAAAAACACTTCCAAACTATTTGTAGTATGCTCTCTAAATAACGTGGATTTGTATACTCAAAACAATACATGTCCTCTGAGGTTTGTAGGTGGGTTGTGATAACTAAACAAACAGACTCCGACTGCCTAGTTATCCAACAAAAAATTGTACTCACTGAGGAAGATAGCTTCTCCCTTGATTCTTGTTTGTAGGGTGGAAATCGTGGTCTTCTTGTGTATACCTCAAAGCAACACAGTGAGTACATAGACTAATGAAGAATTTAGTAGATATCCATTTTCCGCATCGTTCTAATTACAACTCGGCGTAATTTACAGAAATCCACCCTCACCTTGATATTTTTTGAAAAGGCTCATAATCCCATACCCACAAGATGAACAACCGGTTAAATATATGCTGTATCTTGTGTATAGAACGTAGAACTGCGTAACAGCTTTCCATAGTATGGTTATAATATTTAAAATTCAGTGGGATCTACGTAATACAGAGTGAATATTCGAAAGTAAACTTCACAATACGTGAAACGAAAATTATTGAGAGAAAAAAATCATCACAAATGAAGAGGCAACGAACGAAGATTTTGTCAAAATTTAATGAAAGCTTAAAAATTGATGCTTTTGTTCTATTGTCAATTTTGTAGCATATGTAATTACTAATCCATGACACTTCACAAATAGTCCTGCTCAGAAATCGAGATCACAAACTTATTAAAATGTTTAATTTCGAATAATCCACTTAACAAACCAGATGTACACAGGGAGCCCGAAATGCATGATTAATTCTAATTTACCTTAGTCAAAACAAGTTATGTGGGGTTGAGAACTTCTTCAGTGATCAACCTTGCATGGTATGACTCATTCCGTAACTGTAAGAATTGGAATATTTCAGTCCGCTTACGACTATGGTGAACAAGAATACCAGTCGGGTCAATCGAATGTGTTTTGAACTCAAAATTACAGAAGGTCTTAGTAAAATCTGAGAACCATACATTAAATACTTAATTTGCGAAATGTCATTCAATTGCCTAAAACTTGACTGTTCTTTTTGCAAATATCAGTCAATCGGCTCAGATTTCATTGTTTCTGTATTACCATGCCGATTGCTTTCCATTTCCGTTCTACCAGACAGTCTAATTTTCACTCACGATATATACTACTTATGTGGATACAAGTACCACACCATGATTATTTCAATTAAAAATATTTACTTATTTGCATCGAAATGTGCAAGACTATCCATTTTCCTTGAAATGTATCTCTAGTTGCCTTCATCACTCGAAGGGAGTCCCCACATGAAAATAGTTTGTTTGATAATGTTCTCAACATATTGTCTATGAGTAGCAGAATACACAAGTTCTCGTTACAATGAGATCATGCATTACAACCTTTATGTATATCAGATTAACTAGATAATACTGAGGTCTTTTTGTTAAGAAACTTATCTAGTATTCTGAATAGATCCTAAAACCATTCAAAAGTTTTGTCAAACAATCTCGTCTTACTAACACCTTTACAAATCGTATCATTCTCTTTGTACTGTACAAAGCAGTTAGTTGTAGA